ATAATTTATTAATATTTAATAATTGAAATAATAAATAATAATGTAACAATAATGATATATTCAATATATTCTTTATTTGATTTGTTCAATATTAGATTATTCTATTTCATTATCATTTCATTGTCTTCATTATTTTATTTCATTTATTATTTTATATTCATTTATTATTTTTTAAAATCAAATAAACAATAATATTGATATTCATTCATCATATTAATTTAATATAATAAATATACACAACATTTCAGAATAAATAATGAATAATTAACATTGAAAATATTGATTTATTCTATAATTTATTCAACATAAAATCAATAAAACATATATTTTGATAATACACAAATGAAATATTAAAGAGATATACAATACTCAAGAATTAATAAAAAAGAAATAAAAAGAAAGAATAAATGAATATAAAATTGATAAATAATAGAAGAAAGAAATAGAAACAACAACGAAAAACAAATAATATAAAAAGAATATAAATATATAAAAGAATAAAAAGAAAGTAGAAGAAGAATATAAAAATAATAAATCACAAAGATGTAATAAAATATGAAAAGAAGAAATAAAAAGTGTAATTTTATTGTAAAAATTAGAAATATTCAATAAAAGTGTCTAATTTAATGATGTAAAATAATTAATATTATTTTATTAATGAAAATATTTTATTCTTTTTATGTTTATTATTTATATGTATAACTTAATCATGATGTTTATTATATAATCAATAATATGTGTTATGTTATTATAACATATAATAAGTGATAAAATATAAATGAAAATGATATGAATAAATGATATTGAATATAAAAACAAAAGAATAATAAGAATAAATGATAAATAAAACGAGAAATGATAATCAATGATATAATAATAAAATCAAAATATAAAAGATACATTTAATATTAATATAAATCAAAAGAGAATAAATATAAAATGAAAATAGATATAAATGATAATAATATAAAAATGATAAAGATGAATATTCAAATAATAAAATACATTTAAATATAAAAGAATAACAATAAGAAATTTTAAAGAATATAAACATAAAAATAATAAAATAAGAATAATATAATAATATAGAGATAATAATAAGAATACAATGATATACATATTATAAACAGAGAAATAAATATAAAAATACGATAGATAAAAATACGATAGATAAAAGAATATAAATAATAAAAATAAATATGAATAATCAAATAATCTATTTCATTAATATTTCATACAAAATGAATACAATTGATAATAAAATATAAACATAAATATTTACAGATTGTATATTTATCATATTTTTTATTTTTTTATTTTTTATTTTTTTTAGGAGCAAAATATAATAAAGTGGAAAATTCTAATGATACAAATTTTTTTGCATCTTTTTTCTTTTTTGTAAATTATTTAGATGCATTTTTTCTTTGCTAATTTTCGTGCCCAAATAAAAATATGATATAAATATAAAGAAGAAATATGAGAAGTTAAAATAAACAATTTTATAATGTGACTATCTTCTCTCTTATTCATATTCAAAATGAATATCATTTCTGATGTAATTGATAAAACAAATGAAAATGAATAAAAGTGACAGATGTATTATATATGGATAACATCAAAGTAATTAGTGAAACAAAAAGGAAATAACACACAAGAAAATAATTGACACAAATGAAACAGTAGAATTGAAATAAACATAAATAAATGTGGAGTAGTAACAAGAGGAAGTATAAATATCTCAAATAACATGCATAATATACAATTACTAGATAAAAATGTAAATATAAATAATTATGAAATGACCAAATTTACAAGAAATGATGATACAAGATGTATAGAGAAAATAAAAAACAATATAAAAGAATGAACAGAAGAAATAAAAGAGATGATATGAATTATATTAATAGAATAAATACAGAAATAACAAAAATTCACATATAGTGATTCTATTGTTAAATAGCCAATTATGAAGTTAAATGAAATAGATAAAATGATAAGAAAAAGAATGAAAAAATGAAATATAAAATGTACAAGAATGTGTATGAGTAGACTATATTTCAATCAAAATAAAATAGAAATTGAATAAAAATGTAAGAGATGAATGTGGTATTGAAATAATAAGAAAATATTTATTGCAATTGAAAAAGAGGAGATAAAGTATGAGATATGATAAAGATAAATGAAAAAAAGGAAATGAATATGGAATATATTGTATAAAACATGTGGAAAAAGAATAAAAAAAAATCAAAATAAATGAAAAAGAAAAAATAAAGATAAAAAGAAAATAATAAAATACATAAAGATAAGTTTTAAGAAGAATATAACAATAAATGGAGAAATAAGAAAGTAAGGAGTGAAAATTTAAAATGAATTGAAGATAAAATGAAAGACAAAAATACAACAAATAAAGTATGGGAAACAATTAATAATATAAAGAATGTGTATATTCAAATAAAGAAAAAGCAAACAACAACAAATAATTGAATAAGGAAAGTAATTTAGACAAATGAACCAAAATATACAATGTGTAATATCTGTAATAAAATAGCAACAATAAATAATATCATCCTCATTTGTACAATCACTAAAAAATCACAGATGAATAAACATGATAAAATGGGAGAATATAAATGGAGAGATTTAAAATTTGAATATAAAATAGATATAAAGAAGAAGAAATAAAGAAAAAAAGAAAAGAAGAATAGAGAAAGATAAAAAATGTATGATTTGAATCAAGAAATAATAAATAAGAAGGATTTAAAGAAAAAGGAGGGGTTAATCATAGATATGACAATAGTAAGAGATAAGAATATAAGTAAAACATTTACAAACAAATATATGAAATTACAAGAACATATAAGAAAAATAGAAAGAATAATAAGAGTAATAATCATTCCAGTTGTAATAACAGTAGAAAGAATGATAAATAAAGAAAGAGTTAGAATATTAAGAAATGAAGGAAATAAAATTCTATTGAAAATAATTGTAAAAGATATTGTAATATCAAATATGAAAGATATTATAAAATACTATGGTGATAATTTATGAGAATGTAGAGATGAAGAAGAATAAGAAGAAGTAGAATCTGGAGAGAGTGAATGATGGGAAGAAATTCTCAAATGAACAATAAGTTAAAATTATTATTAATTTATTATTTATTCTATTTTAAGAATTTGATAATGTCTATTCATGTTATTTATTAATCTTGAAAAAGTATTTAAAAGAAAAGAATAAAAGAATAATGATTAGTTTTAGATGAACAACGAACATGAAGAAATCATATCACAAGAACAATTAGAAAAAGTGTCTAAGAATATTGAAGAAAAAGTACAAAAACTTAAACAACAACCCAAAGAAAGTGAACAAGTTAATGTTGGAAAAAGTCAACCTATTCAACAATCAGTATCAAATATTCAACAAACCCAATTTTCCAATTTAACACCTGAAATGCAACAACAATTAATGAGAATGTTTGTTGCTCAACAAGAAAAAACAAATGAAGATTTAATGTCTCAAACACAAAAAGGAATAAAAAGAAAACGAAGAGAAATTGATGATCAGTTGTATAGACAAATTCGTGAAAAAAGTGAGAATGAACGAAGAGAAGTTGAAAAATTAACAAACCCAAATCAAAATGTTCATAAACTTCATTCATTATTTAATGACTTACAAAGTTTATCAACAAGTCTTGGAATACCAATTGAAACACCAGAAATTGTTGTTGTTGGAATGCAAAGTGATGGGAAAAGTAGTTTTATTGAAGCACTTGTTGGATTTCAGTTTAATGTAGTTGAATCAACTATAGGAACTCGTAGACCATTATATTTACAAATGTTTAATAATCCAAAGCAACGTACGCCAAAGTGTTGTTTTGCAAATGACAATGGAATTTTTGAAGAAAGGGAAATTGCTGTAGAATATCTAAGT